GCAGTCTAAATTATCTCCCTCAAACTCCAATTCAGTGGTGAAAATGTTATGGATGGATCTGCTATGACACCAAGTGTTCATGAACACCAGAAGTGAGGTGGAATTGGGTTTTAGGTCGTTCTTGAGAATATACCATATTTTAACGTCTTTTGGTATGACGCGACCGGTGATCGAACCCGCGACCTTCCGCTCTCTGGCGGGTTCTCTAAGCAATACACCACGGAGGTGGTCTCATGAAAACCAGAAGCAAAAACAAAAGTAAATAGACATTCTTTATATTCAGAGACTAAGCATTAGTCTAACATACATTGTATGACTCCCTAAAGCTCGTCATGAATTCATTTCCCTTTCAAATAAGTCCAAAGTGGCACAACGACCAAGTATAAACTCCAGCCTTCCATGAACGACAGACATTGAAGTCAGTGCACTACAATATGGTGTCATGATTGCAGCGAGTAAGATACTCGAGAACAATTCAGAAAGAAAATTTCAATCAATTTCGGCCTTCAAATTGGCTGCTTGTACAGTCACTGACCAGTTTGAGTTGAAACACACCACGGGCCTGGACCTAGATGATGACAGCTCATTTGTATTAAGTCTCTAAGCTATCAACAAACCTACTCTGCCAAGACAGCCAAGGAATGGAAAAACACATCCCTTAAAAACTTGACAACTTTGTTCACTCATGCAAACTCGTGAAGCTTTAGCAGCATAGGATTTACACTACATTTAATTCCAATTACTATTATGGCCTATAAAAATGTCTATTTTGTTTAAAAAAACATATTTGTGTAATTTAATGTCACTGTGAATGATAACTGATGATGCTCATTAGAAGGTGTGTTTCAACCCTGAAACACAAGCATCGGCTACTTTATGAAAACTCTTAATCAAGATGTCAAAACTCATTTCTGCACTATTTATTTGAAAACTATGAATCCTAACGCACATACCACCATTGCAACTGTAGGTTTGGGCCACAACCATGTATGAACAGCACATTCAGTCAAACACCAAAACAACAAACAGGTTAGATTAACATTAATCTTTGATGACCGACGCTACAAACATTATCGCTATTTTATTTCAAGGATACTGACAACCCTCCAAAAGGCTTTGTTCTTTGCTAATTAGAAAATGTTCCTAATCATTAAAATAATAACAAACTACTGCTTTCATGTCAAACATCAATTTTGCGACAGAAGCTTCAATTTCCCCGCAGGACATCAAGCACTGGCAACATATGCTACATGATGTAATTTAGTGCAAAATGTTATTATCGCAAAAAAACATGGCATGATCAATTTGGCATATTAAAACTTGTTGCTTGTTCATGGTTCATTTCATTAATAGACTGAAATATTTACTTGCATTTAATTAATTATAGTAGGGAAGGTTGTACCTACGTAAGATTAAAATGAATCGAAGCAGCTGTGATTAGGGACCATGTTTGCTAGAAATTGCACAAATTGGGCAAGGGAAAGTTTTTAAGAGTACCTCGTCAATAATATGGCAGCAGACTGATAATGATCTGGTCTTGGAGGTTCGTGTGCCTTTTGATTCTGTCATAATTACAAAACCATCATTATGCGATGATGTCACAGAGCACTACATTATTTTTGGCAGGGAAATAAAATCCGACCTGTGTGATTGAGTTGGTTTTCTGACTCATTCCCGAATAATAATTGTTGATTCATTTATATTCCAAAAGGGCAGGCCCTGTCCAAACACAATTAAAACAATCTTAAAAACATCGACGATGGATTTGTTACATCCTTGTTTTCATTTTCAAAGAATCCAAGCACGAACGGTCACTGTAGCAAATTTTTCAAAACGCAACATTCACCAAATGATCCACGTAGACACCAACCAAAGCATGAACTCAGAGTTTGCATGTCGTCATGTGACACGAGCCAGCTCAATCCAACTTCATACAGGAATAACTCAGCACTTCCTCCTGAAATAAAATCATGTTACAGTTTTGTACCCTCCATCACAGCTGAAATTATATCAGCAAGGGAAATAATCAAAAGGCTAAAAATTCCATGAATATTCCCATAAATCATATCATCAAATTTCTTGAGATGACTGCTGGTCTTATTTTAGCCATAATGAAATATGTCCTCATCATTTTGACAGTTGGTCCCGAGTTTGTAATGTACCCAATGCTGCTGTCAGTGACAAATTCCTCAAGCAGACGTCACTTTTTTGTGGGCAAATCTCTCCATCATTTTCCAATAAGTAATAATAATTCAGATACTACAAGAAGCAACATGAAGACCAGGCAGGATTGATAACTGTTCTGGTCACTTGTCATTCTTCAAGGGAAGCATCGTTTATTCCCGATTTAATATCGATGGCAATCAGTTTTCTGACTAACGCAATTCTGGTTAAGCTTGTAGAATCCCATTCTAATAAAGCGTACCTACGGAGTCTCAGTGCTTATGCTTCAAGTATGGAGCATAACGTTGTCGGCATTCAATTAGTGGGCGGATTTTCTTTGCGACATGATAATTCTGTTGGTGTTAACAGATTCAGAGAGAGTTAGGGCGGAGCATACCGAGCATAAACATATCATCCATGGAGATACATTTTTCATCCACCTCAGCCAATCTGCTGGAACATACACAACACTCTGCTCATGACTATTCTGCCATTTTGTTTCGTCCCAAGTGCTCAGGAGTCATTTCAAGCCTGTCATTTGAATACAAACATAGGATAGCTCAATAAGGATTTAACATTGTGTTCAAGATTATTGCATTTCTATAGCGACTTGCATCCATATGTCTGTGTGTGTCTGCTGTTCTTGTGTCGACTTATGTTGGTTTAATAACGCACATGCCACTGTTTAATATGGAAACCCCACTCAGCCACAGCATACTGTCTCAGAGCAGACTTGTAACTTTTCTATCTCCTTAATGCCAAGCACCAGCCAGGGTAACAACAAGTACCATGTTTTAACATCATTTGTGTGCTGTGAGTGAGTGAGTGAGTTGAGTTTTACGCCACACTCAGCAATAATCCAGCTATTTGCAGCGGTCTGTAAATAATTGAGTCTTGACCTGACAATCCAGTGATCAAAAGCATGAGCATCGATCTGTGCATTTGGGAATGATGACATGTGTCAACCAAGTCAGGGAGCCTGACCACCCGATCCCGGTAGTCGCCTCTTACGACAAGCATAGTCGCCTTTTGTGGCAAGCATGGGTTGCTGAAGACCTATTCTAGCCCGGATCTTCACGGGTCTTGTGTGTGATGTGACCTGGAGTCCTCTCTGGCCACATGTACTATCTGCAATCCAAAAACAAATATAGACACAGAAATCTGTTTAGGATAAGTTACCTTGCAAAATTAGAGACTGTTTAGAGCATATGACTTGTCGTTAAACAGTAAATGCTTATTTATGAATACAAAAGAATAGTTGGTCTCGATTATTTGCTGAAACAAGTGTTGATTGGCACAAAACCAACACAGTCATGGTAACAAAATAAATAGATCATTGAGAACTAGTGATGAGACTAGGTATTCACAAAAATGTTTAAGCATTTCCTGGTCTCCTGGTACAGTTTGCAACTTTCACAATTTACGTAAATCACCAAAACCCAAATCTCACATCTGGCCATCACGAGATATTCATATTTTTTAACAACCAAAGCTATGGATAAATTATAGTAATTTTAGTCAAATATTTCACTACGTCTGCCACGTGACAAAATCTCTTGTTCTTTTTCATATTTTTACAAATGCCACCAGGCAAATATTCAAAGCTAAGCATCACCATGTAGGTTTTTCAAACCATTTTCCATTTTCTTTGAAGAATGGAGGTGATGCCGATGGCCATAGAAACCCCTTGGACAGATTAGTTTCCTGTAAGGTTACTTCTTTCATGTCTAACGCAGATCTGAGTTGACACAAAAGACATCCTTGTGACCTGTGTCAGTGAATGTGAAAGATGAACAACCCGTCTGCTTACATGTCAGTTTGGCAGGCCTCCACATCTCCCAAACAATGGTGCTTGCTCACTCAACCAAGGCGTGTCTGATGAGAAGAGATCGTGTTTGACATTAAGATTAAATACTTTGTTTGAATCAGGAACCTAGAGGGTGTATTCACGTGTTTATTGTCGCAAATACATGCATGTTTGTTTGTGGGAAAACAGGGCATTATAATGGACAATTGACGGATCAGAAACCCGACCAGCTGGTGGTGGGCTTACTGCTGGATACTGCTTGCCAGCATTATGGAAAATACAAAACAATTCCATAAAATTCTAAGAAAACCAAACAGGCAGGTTTAAACTTATTATTCATCAAAATAAAGCCTTACTGGAGAAGCAGGAAACGTGACTTGTATGAATAGACTTTAATCGAAGGAGATGAAGCTCATTTAGCAGTTCATGTTTGTTCTATCCATCGAAGGTTTATTCGATGTATGTCCTGAATGTAGACTACTTAGCCTGGAAGGGTCAGCTATTTGATTCTCAGTGGGGGTGATGTCATGAGCAAATATAAACAAGATCATGTTTTACTGAAAACAAATTACATATGCTGTGTATTGTGGGAGGAAAATATGTCACCCTTTTCTTTAAGTGTCCAGAGATTACAGTTTGTTATTTTTTTCTTTATTATTTGTCAATTACATGAAAAAAATGCAGCACCTTTTCATGTTGGAATATTTAATCCTAAAAATTAAACAGAATACTGATCACACCCGGAATCTTGCTTCCACTCACAATCTTTAAATCAAAATGTTGCTCTCTTTGCCCTATAAACAAATATGTGCAGTGGTGCTTATAATATGGGCTATTTGAAACTCTGAAATGGAACAAGAAGTTTGAAAAGGATTATAATAGTCTTTAAATTATATTTACAAATAATTACAGCGTGTCAAGAATTTCGCCATTCATTTTTCATAGATTTCGACAGTGATGCTTCACGACACTGTGCAAACAAAACTCCAACACAGGAGAGGTCACACTAAAGAGGACGAATTAAAATAAGAGATTCCAATACACTGCTTCTATAATTCTGAGGTTACAGACCTCACATGGTCGTAAAGCCAAAATAACGCCCACCACATTAAACTTTTATCAAAATCGGGGAGGCAGAAATTGAACATGACGAGGGTTCAGAGAAGAAAAACGTATTACGAGCCCTTGTCAGTGATCCACATAATCTTAGATTATACCAAGCCAAGGGAGTGTCAGAATGTTCAAATCTGTAAGACGTATTTTCTGATGCATGAAGTACTTCACTTTCTATAGCATTTCCCAAAATGCAAATTAAAGGTGATTTGCACCTGTGCAGTGTCTACCAAACAGTTTCAGTATAATGCGAAAAGACCATCAACATACATAGTACACCTACAACTAAAATATCTACATGATCAAATTCTATGTCATCACTGCCAACGTTATCGTGTCCTGTTTCAAAACAGGAGTTTGTTTTATAAGGTTTTTAGTTAAACAGCGTTATAGCGAGGATGCTGGGGAAATGTTGTCAGTGACAACTAGAAATGAAGAGCTATTCAGTACAAAGGGCTTTGATCCGGGCTGAAACCAGGCATGAATGAACTAACAAGAAGGGAGGAAAGTGACCCAAAATACCCATGACCTTAACAAACATTTCACTCAATTTTATACAAACGGTATCAAAAACAGTGGCTGTTTGACCTTACGAAACCCCCCACATGTCATCAGACGACGACATTGTCAAACTGTTACTAAGGATGTACAACACAGTGATGAAGATTCGCCTGCCATGTCTTCCCTTCCATGTACACAATCTCTATACCTCCAACCAAATCAATATTGTGACATATGAAAGTGATATATTCTAATATTTGATTCTCCATTAGCAATGATTAATACGATTCATGTGACAGACTGCCCTTGACTTCAATGAATCTAACTCCTCACTCCGATTGTAATAACATACAAGGTGAGAGACATTTTCAAATTCAGATTTCAGTAGTTTAATATTTGAACATCGCACTGCCTTTGAATATTGCTCTGTAAAGGACAGATGACTGTACACGTCTATCACAGTCAGATGCAAAGTTATTAATCTTCCATTCATTCCCTCGGAATTCTGCTTTTTAGAACCCGATATGCACAATGAGTCAAATACGAGTCAGATGAGAGGAGACGGGCTGCTGACGACTAGACCAACATAGTGTTGTTATGTATAAGGCTGAATCAAAATAATTCCGTAAAGGAACCCTTGAGAATTAAGGAATCCTTCAGTCTCTTCATTTCAGAGCTGAAAAGGGAATGAGTATAGGCTGGTTGAGCTGAGAGGGGGATGAGAGTGGAATGGGGTTGACTGTTAATAAAATATATGCTTGGGATCTGTAAGAAAGAGGTTGAGGGGAAATGCTGCACTTTGCCTACAGTGATTCTAATAGAAAGACCCCCGACTAAACATGAATCTTCAGCACTCCAGGATCAACAGTGGCCGTAAGGCCATGATGAATTATTAATTAGATTTTCATCCAATTTTCAAAACTGGGATGTATTTTGCTTTTTAAAGCATCACTGTACTGTCAACAGATATGGGGGGCAATTGGTAGCCTAGTGGTTTAAGCGTTCACTCATCATGCCGATGACCCGGGTTCGATTCCCCACATGGGTGCAATGTGTGAAGCCCAATTCTGGTGTCCCCTGCCGTGATAATGCTGGAATATTGGTAAAAGCTGCGTAAAACTAAACTCACACAACAAATAGGGACGGTTCAGATGGAGCGTGGATGTTAGAAAGATGGTGCACTTCATCAATTAAAGAAAGAAAGTTAATTGGACAAAGAAATATTTGTCTAACATCTGTTCTCTGAATTTACATATTTTAGTGGAAAAAAACACAGTTCTTAACAAAACATAACAGAAATGACCTGTGATACTTTCTTCACTGACATAAAATGAAACTGCAGAAGTGTTATGCCACATAATATACTGACTGACTGACTGAGTTTGGTTTTACGCCACTTTTAGCAATATTCCAGCAACATCACGGCAGGGGACACCAGAAATGGGTTTCACACATTGTGCCCATGTGGGGATTCGAACCTGTGTCTTCGGCGTGACGAGCCAACACTTTAACCATTAGGCTACCCCACCGCCCCCACATGATATACACTTGGGCTGTATTGGGTGTATTTGTTTCAGGGTCTGTATGACAGACTTCATTATTATGTAACTCAGATTGTTTGTTTCTGAAGCAATTGGAATCAAATCTAATAATCAATTTGTGACTCAACTATTTACAGACTGACGCAATATGCCTGAAATACTGGGAGTGCAGCATTTAACAAATAAAATAAAACAAAACACAAAACCAAAATCATCTGATAACGTAGTCTGATTATTCATACGCTCTTTTCAAAAAATATATTTCACATGTTCAAGCATTTGAAATCCCCCAGAATCATGAAATAAGCTCTGTGTAAATAACAGAAAGAAAAATTCAAAAGTTTTTGTTAGAGAGGTAGCTTGGATGACGGTGCATTAAAAACATTTTTATGGTTTCGCGCACTTGAGGTGATAGAAAAAAAGATGAAAGGATGGAAAGACTGAAATAACCATGAAGGAAAGGAGGATGTGTAAATGTGGATGGACAGATGGATAAATAAACGTGTCTTTAGCAGTGACAGTTCATATGCTATAAGCTGTCCCCCGTGACACAAGGCCCCCAGTGTTGACACACAATGCAGATCCGAAAATCAATCATATGAAAATCTTCTCGACTGATGGTCACATGACTTGAAGAACGTTGGTCATAACAAAAATCTGTGAGTGCCATTATGAAACGCTAGGCTTTTATGATGAAGGGCGATGCATTTCTAATCTGTATAAAACAGCTAGTCTTTCATGGACAGCCATGTTACCATGACAACGGGACAACAAAAGCATATCATATCCGTGAGCATATGACATAAAAAACACACATCTAGCCAAAATTAGTATGATTTCCAAATTCTAGCAACCGTAGTGTCAGGTTGTTATTGAATTAGCGGCAGAAGATGGTGATGTACTGATGGTCGAAGATAGTGGTCGTTAGACAAAGCTCAACGCATCATAATTGTTAACATTGTTTTCTGGTCCTTCAAGCAGACTCGGCAGCAGAAACAGATTGCATAAGTCCTGTTGCCTGCAACTACAGAGAACTATTAAATTTCCTACAAGCAGCTGAACAGTTGTATTTAAGAGGATATGTGATCTTTTATATTGAAATGATTGTCAAACTTCAAAGAAGGTATCGTATGTTGCTTCAAAATAATCATCTCGCGTAGCAATGCTCCGAGCCATTGTCACAATTTCTCATGGGTTCGTGTTATTGGGAACTGTTATACATTTTACAATTATCTCGATGTATTTACAACCTTGCAACTACTCGGACACATTAACCAAAAGTTGACGCCACGTTACTAAATTCAAACGCATTGCTTGAGATGCAAGTGCATTATATCTAAAGAAATATATATCCGAAAATAATTTATTCTTGGTGCAATTATCAGGTGTGGAATATGAATAGGATATACCTTGATGGATGTAGTCTGAAACATTGGTTTTAAAATAATACATTTAATTATTAATCTGAACCCAAGCAAACTGTTTCACGTTAATATCCATTGTGTACATATAGATGCATGTATGCAGGATCTTGTTCATTTTCATATCAAAAATCTTGTCTCTATTATTCAGGTTTGCTTGTTGTTTAATGCCGCACTCAGCAATTTTCTCACTATATGACAGCGGTTTGCAAATAATCAAGTCTGAGCCAGACAATCCAGTGATTGACATCATGATTGACATATAATCAACCAAGCTTTACCACCTGATACACTTTGTTACCCACAACAAACATAGGTTTCTATATATTAGCTATATATACAGCCGATAATCCCCAAGTCGGACCACCAATCTATTTGTATGACAAGTCGAGGTCGCTGTGGACGTATATTCTTACCCATAATCCCCACTGGGGTCACCAAGTCTGACCACCAGATCCAAGCAGTCTATTTGTATGACAAGTCGAGGTCGCTGTGGACGTATATTCTTACCCATAATCCCCACCGGGGTCACCAAGTCTGACCACCAGATCTATGTATTCACTTCCTATGAGAAGCAAAGGATGTTAGCATCTGTCCAAACCCTGAATCACCACGACCGACTTCAACCAGCTTTTGTTAGTGAAAAACAATCTGAAAACAAACCTACCTGAGCACTTCTGTCAGAGAAACAAACAAGTCGAGATGTGTCTTACCTGAAAATAGAAAACACAATATGACAATAGATGCAACATTTTAAAGTCTTATTCATCCTGTGAGTATAAATATCTTTTCAAGATGATGCTGAAATTTCAAGCTGGCTCTGACAATACAAGCTGATCCACTACAATCTTTGATGAGTCTTCAAAACAACCATACAAAAATTCCCTGTCTGAAGTTCATATCTCAAGTTTCAAATTCAAATTTCATCCACATCAGCTTCCATTTTTGTCATTGATTATGATCATACAATGGGAATCAACACATCGCGGGAGGATTCCTTGTCGTCTCCTTGTGGTGACAATTTTGACCAATCAGCTTCCAGCGTGTCAACTACAGGGCGACGACTGGTGACGTATTGTCACCTTCTTTGTTCTTGTGGCCATATTGAAGGAACCCAGATCTCTGTAATTATCATGTGCTAAAACCCATTTCTAGTCTATACATAATTTATGACAACAGAGGATCCAACCTACCCCTTAGCAGGGAACTCTTGGAAAACAGTGAAGGTCAAAGTTTACTATTGATGAATGCAAACATAATAAATAGCATTGTTGTCAGCTTGAACATGTCAACTGAGAAAAATAAATCATAGAAAATTATCACAATAAAATACTGACAATTTTTACTGGACGACATTTATAAAGAATTACCATGCATTTATGGTAATCTGGGCAGCCGAAATATTTGTCAACTATTCGTCCAGACCAACTTGAAGGAGAATACAAGCCGAAACTCACCACAAATTGTGTAACATATGAAAATGTAAACAATGTGTCTTAGAAACCAACAGGACGCGCCCTAGATACAAGAACTGCTATTTTTAGCATTTGTAATATCACATATTGAATCAGCATGTTTTCTAAGACAATATTTCGAAAATAACCAAGCATCAGATCCAATAGCATTTTCACAAACTGTGTTCATTTGTTCCAATGTATAATTTGTTTTCCTCCAGAAATTCACTTTTAATTGGGACTGAAGAGGACTTGGTTTGCATAAATCAAACGCCAAGATATTTTGATTTCTGTGGGTTTGCAAAAACGGCCATGTTTTCCTATTCAGTCTCATCCTTCCCAGACCGATTTGCATATTTTTACAGTTGTGTGGTTTCTAATTAGACAATACATCTGCACATGTGACAAGACTCCTTTAATTAAATTTGACTGGAATGAGTTTGTCAGGGTTTGAGCCAGGGGACCGGCAGCCTTGTTTAACATGTCTATTAGAGAAGTAGGTCTGCCATGCATCATCGTCCAAAACATGGCCATCACAGGGGAGATTAGAATCCGCCATATCTCTGTCTTCCTGTACACATGGCAGAAACCAGTTCAACGACCACTGGAATATTTGTTGAAAACTTTCTATGATGGCCTTAATAAGTTATTTGGTTTTCAACCAGCCATATCACTGCATATCTGCTTCTGAAGTTGCTACAGATGACAATAATTGCTATGTGTTCCCTATTTTATTTCATATGAACACTTGACCTGCCTGTGCATGTGTTTGTGATGGGAACAATTTGTGGGGAGGATATACTCTCCTTCACGTAAATCCCTGTTATCATCACTATTTCAGTGGTTCATAAACATATGAGAGCAGAAGGTCGTGGGTTCGATCCCCGACCGCGTCATACCAAAAGACGTTTAAATATGGTACTTGATGGTCCATGCCTGGCGCTCGGCATTAATGGGTACATCAAGGATTGGTCAGCTCGGAGTCAGTATAATGTGTCTGAGTGGGGTATTCATGCTTCACTGCGGCATGGTATCTCAGTGAGCTAGCACTCTAAAACCAGCTTCAGTCTGGGCTAGTACAAGCAGCCGCACATACACATACACACGCATGCACGTTGTCATATGAGCCAAATATTCTCCAGCGCGACGTTAAACCAATTTCACCTCACCTCACCTCACCTCATAAGCACAAACTTATGATATATTCGGAACTGTACATTCGACTCTATTATAGAAGCGATTTCTCATGATAATGGAAAGTGTTTTCAGTTTTTATCAACATGACTTTAAAATATATATTCTTGTACTGAACATTCAGAATTCATGTGAATTGAATACATCTACAGTCATTGTACCCAAGATGTCTCCATTAATCATTTATCAAATAAAGGGAAATATAAACATTAGAATGTGTCACTTTTAACATTTGTAAACATAATTAATGAAATATATAATAATCAATTTCTTGCTTTCTAACATTTATCAAACACATTTAATGCTACGCGCACAACAAGTTATAAATATATATATTGATGCTCCGAACACCATTCAAATTTGACAAACAGAGTGTGTTATGAATTCTACACCATATTATTCAGTATATTGTCATACTAACTCCATCAGTTTTTCATCCTTATATAACTGTCTGATACCCAGTATTCCAGCATTCAAGTATTCCATATACTCATACAATATTCACACGACAATCACCAGCTGCTGTTAATCAATATCCTTAAAAACTTTCATTAACTTTTTAAACGTGAATTTGGAGCAAAAGATGCACAATACTGCACCACGTACCCTCAATCGAAAAAAAACCCCTGAACATATACTGTTGGACATATTCCAACGATTTCTACGTCTGAAAGGGGAACTGTCAACACTCTAACCAATGCGAATATTATGAGAACATGTAATATGTATTCACTCCTGTTGTCACTAGACCCTGGTTGTAAATGCAGCTCTGCCATTCCTCCATTCGAACAATAAAGCGGAATTGGCAGGATTAGATATGAAGGAAGAACGTGTTTATTAACAGCATCATTTTTCAACTAGGTAAATATTACATGTCCTTTAAGTGCATTCTTTCAAAATATTTATGCTCACTTTCTGAATAGATTCATCCTAGACAAAATATTCTTGAAATTGTTAGGAAAATAGGTCTCCTATAAATGTGATGAAAGCGTCATAGTTCCTGGAAAGTTTACATCATCTAAAGTAGTTTTGAGGAGAGTTGTATTGGATTTCAAATTCCCACATGCTTTGTTATAATCCAAAAAGTAGGCGAACCAAGCAGTAAATGAAATGGATGGGTAATATTTATCGTTCATGTCCTTCTCTGAAATTCGAAACAGTCAATATTGTTCTGATTCTTTCCAGTAAAGATGATTCAATTCTTCTTTGTCTGAAGTAACATTTGAATTTTATTTCTAAGTGCTTCTCCACAATCATATGCTGGTCTTGAAAGGAAAAAAATGGAAGAAAAGGATAACAAAAGCTTCAAATGCTGAAGATATTTGCCCTAACATATCTCAGAAAAGTTTTTCACAAATTCAATCAAACATTAAGGAAGGGAGAGAGAAATCAACAGAAAAATGTTTATGATTTTCCCAATCCGCAACTCATCTCTACTGGCCAACATCAATAGGTATCTGATGGTTTTGGATGACAGGCTAAGCCATTTTTATGTCAGAATGAAACTCCGAGGGTGACAGTGTTGAACAAACTAAATGATCTGTTCTACCCTCGATTGACTGCAAGCAATAAAAAGTCATCATAGTTAAAACTAGTTGACAGGAAATGTTACCATATTAGCCATAGTCGCCACACAGAATAACCATTGAAAGGTTTCCTTGAAACAAAACGTGATATGCCTACATTATTTATCATTTCTTTAAGGGAAACTGAATGGTAGCCGCCGTTTGACATTCGTCATGCCTTTCAAGGTCACGGGTCAATTAATGCTAAATAACAGAGTAAACGCATCACGAACATTACTGTATTTTCCCCGATGGATTCATGAATAAATGGCAGCATTGCCCTAACTATGTCCTCGTTCGGAGATGAGATTTAAGTTGCCTTGCTGCTCAACAAATGCAAGCTAGAATCTTGGAGATATCTTATCTGAACCACTGGCAAAAATCTTCCCTGCCGAAGCAGCGATATTTTGTTAACGAGGTATGTCAGGATTCATGGCATACAAGCACACAGCTGATCGCACGGGTAATCTTGCAACGCGGGGTAAAATTGTCAAGACACTTGCGTAATTGTAGAGGGCGACACTAAATGACATTCTGTGCCCGTTAACTTTTTTCATTTAATGATGCATAGTCATTTAATGAACACTATAGCTTGTGAAATAATTCATCACTTGTAGTATCACATGATGGTTAACTTTCTTGGTTTTTCTAAAAGACTCGGTAGCTCATGTGATTTATTTGCTCGGTGTTCTCTCGGCCAGAAGAATGTCTTGTATAGATGCATTTTTCCTGAGGCCATATTTGGGTGATTACCTCAAAGCACTCTTCGTAACACAAGACTGCTCTACGATGATCACAAAATGGAAAATCTGTCATTTTTTGTCTTACAAACATTATCAATTTAAAATAGTATTTGAATTTATGACATTGGAGTTCTAATATAAAATTTTCTATTCTTGACATTTCCCATTTCTGCCATAAATACGGGGTATGAGTCAACACTGTTGAGCAGAGATATTGATAAAAGTATTATTTTTATGTCCACATAACGCAAACCAGAAAAACATTTCGAAGGCTAATACAGTTAACTGTGTTATGTGTTAGAAACAGACTGTTCTCTGAATCACCTGTCATGGGACACAGGGACCTCTCTGGCTGAGTGGGTGGGTGAGTGAGTGACTGAATGAGTGATGAGTAAATGAGTGGTTGAGTGAGTGAGTGAGGGTGGTTGAGTGAGTGAGTGTTAGGGCAGACAAGTGATTGAATTAGCGAAAAGACCACACACTCACTCAAACACAAAGACAATGAGACATCGAGACCCACCATACACAAACACAAAGACTCAAAGATACTCAGACAGACAGACAGACAGGCAGAGACAGAGACCACAAATGAAACAACAAAAAATCTGTAGAGGTTATCTCGATTTGAAATCTAACCAAAGTACATTCAGTGATATCATCCTAACACATTGCTCTGAGTTTCCAGTATGTCCCAATGATGAGGTTATCAGCTTACAAAATACAACAGATTGTTATTCCAACTCTCCACTGCCAGTACACAGACTCCTGTCAACACTTCTAACAAGCTGGGGAACACCATTATCCCACCCACACGATATACTCAACCAGGTACAGATTTATGTTCAAAGCAGACGCCAGAAATCTAGCTTGTTTATTCAAAATGATTTTTCACCATCAACATCATTAGAGGGACCCTCAGTCGAAACTAATGTTCATTTGAGCAAAAGGCGAGCATATGCCCGTTTTTGTATATTTATACAACAATTCATGCATTCGGAACAGATTTGTATTTACTGGAAGAACTTTACCCCACAACAGCTCCCGAATCTGCAGGCAACAAAGTGCACCAGGACACCTTCCCCGTGCCACCCTCATAGATGACCTCCAGGGTCATCTTTTTTCAATTCAAAATTTGTTAAATGATGCCATTTGCGCATGTTGCATGTGGAAATGTTACGAGTCCACAAAGGGACACCTGCGAAAACATGGTTGAGTGTTGACCACGTGGTACTCATTCCAAGAGAGTAATTACACAAACAAACACAGCTGTCTCAAAACTGCAAGTGCAAGGTGTTGAAGCCATTAGTCGTAGGATGTGTTACGTCTGTGTGGCATAACCCTAAAGAGAACCCATGTTGAAAGATCTCTGTTTCTCTGGCTGGAAACATGCTAATATACCAAGCTGTCGCAATGGATCATCTTGGAAAATGGAAAATGAAAAGCAGACGGACATATCAGAACATTGCAACCAGCATTCTAGCACATGCTTGAAACTTTGAGCACCCTTTTTAATCGTTATTGGCTTTCAGGAAGAACATGGTAATCGCTGATAAAAAATGGATAAAAAAGTAGCAAAAGTTTGAGACCCTGGTTTGACAATATGTCTCAACAGACTGAAAGTAATGGAAGCCACAAGATATTTCGACTGGTAAAGAAATCGTGAAGTAATAAAATAGACATTTCCTCTTCCTAGTTCCTTAAAATATTTCACTAATTGAAGAGCACTTCCAAACATTTATGTCATGCTGAGTAACAGATATGGTTGGTGATTAGGTGAATTTTGAAGTTGAAAAACATCTTCTGTCTGTTTGAAACAGTCAAATGAGACATCTCTGTTTGAAACAATCTTCTGAAACCACTGTGTTGAGTTCAATTAGTGTAAATACAGCAGTTGCCAAAACAACATAGCTTAACAAACGTTGAATTGCGATAAAATGAACATTTTCCTCCTGTCATTCCATGTTGTCTCAAATTTACAAAACTGGTCTCAAATTTACAAAAGTTGGAGCAGACGTCTTTCTACCAACACAAATACATTTGTTACGCTGAATCACAGACATCAGAATAGCCAGAAACTGTAAAACCAATGCCGAAATGCTCATATTTACTCGTTGCCTTTGGAAGAGGTTCCATCACAGAACCGCTCACTTTGATTATGTTGAGAGTCTGCTGTAGATGAAAGGGTACGCACAAAGGGATGCAAATTAAGAATTAAATATGTTCTCCTACAAGAGGAAATTCACACTTTTTCAGACATTTTTTAAACTTCAGCATTTTTAGGTGTCGGCATCTGTTCGATCTTTAAGAATGTCAATTAGTGTCAACGAAAAAAATGACAAATCTTTTCTCAACGATGACCAAAAGAAATTGTAATCTGAATTTTTGCATCTTCTAATGACGGAGGACAACAAAAAAGTTTGGGATATTATTTCCAATCAAATGTTTTGAAAAGATATACGTCAGCTAGATTATGTTTTTGAACCCTTTTTCTACAAGAAGGATATGGCAAAAGTCAAGTTTGTGCCAGAATTTATAAAACGAGTAAAAAGTTGAGGAAATTAAAGATTTTGAACAGAATTATCTCTCCTTCATCACTAGAAGCTTGAAAGCTTTCACAAGATTGGGTTTCAACATAACAATTAAGACAGTACTTTTTACCAAATCTTACAAACTTCTGACCCTACTGTAATTTGTTAGAAAGGAAATAATATAACTTTCCGAAGAAAAAAATACTGCGCTGTTGAATGATTGCATCTGTCAGTGCAGTTTGTTTTTTTGGCCAGCCGTATGAGATGCATCACTTACACACACTTGGTCATTTTTACATGTCCTTTGACTTGACAGTACATCGGTCAGGCCAATACAAACCACAGATACATGCCAATTAATTATACAGAAAAATATGCATTCTGAAATTAAGTCTCACTTTCAGTTCGGATTGTTGCTATATTAATCATGATAAACATCATTAAATCAGTGTAAACAAATGGGAAAGAAACATTAGCAGAGTGAAAAGAAATCTTAACTAAAAGCATTGTTAGTTTGGCTGTATTAAAGCAATGGTTTAGGAATAATGATCGAACAGTGATGACATTAGGTGTTTGTGAAAAAGAAAGTGTATCCTGCAGGTACCAGAAATCACAAACACATGCAAAGACAAGTCAATTGCCAACCTAAAGAGTGAGTGAGTGAGTTTAGTTTTACGCCACTTTTAGCAATATTCCAGCAATATCACAGCGGGAAAACTACAAAACTGTCTTCACACATTGTACCCATGTGGGGAATCGAACCTGGGTCTTCGGCGTGACGAGCGAACGCTTTGACCACTAGGCTACCCTACCGTTCCGCCTACCAAAGAAACAGTGGCACTGATCAAAATAGGTAATTGCATCACACATCATTATTGTCACTGATGTGTCCTCATGCCAACCATAACCAGTATGAAAACTTACGGAGGACTCCTTATCAAACAATTCTTGAGCAAGAGTCAAAAATAATTGACGTCCATATTCTGGGGTAAGTTTCACAAAGTGATAGATTTACAGCTGTCGTGAGTCGATGTGTAAGCACATGAGATGGGTGAGTCCTGGCACTAGCTGACATGGCCCTGGTTAAGTTTAGAGATAGCCCTGTCCACCAACAAAACCCATGTGACAACTGATACGGCCTTGATCACTGTAATGTTTTCCGGGACTGATAAGCACCATTCCCTTGAGCAAAATGGAAAAAGCATAACTGTCAGTAATTCTCATTGATGAAATAAAAACAAACAGTATGATATACCCCAGTCCTGAAACCTTCAAAAATGAGACACATCTCTTTAAGCCATGAGGACAATGAAGATCCCAAGATGCACCAGGTTAGATACAGACCTAAAGAGGTCATGATTTCCACAATCAGATTCAGTTTCCCTACAATGAAATTCCCAAGCATCCTTATCCAATGTTCGTTTTAAGCATGTTGACACAAGGTGAAGTCAATGAAGCAAATTCAAGGTCCCCCCCTCTCCTCCCCCCCAACCTGCTGGTGGGCACCGCCCTTCATTAGAGGCCACCCTCATGATAAGACAGAGGGGCAGGGTAATTCTGCGGCAATTATTGGTTTGATCTGATGTGTCCCCTGC